TGTTTTGGTTTTTTTTTTTCCCTTAGTTTATGGTTCACGCAATACTTTCACTTACGTTTCCCATTGTAATCCTCACAACAGCCTAGACAGGAAAAAGGGGAACAGTTCTCTCATTTTGCAGTTTAGGAGTGACTAACTCAGATTATCAATTGGTTAGCAACAGAGCTGAACCTAAGGTTGCTAGAATCACTGTCATTTTCCAGAGCATCATAAGCACCTGTACTGGTTACAGTCACAAATAGGGGACAACGTTGTCAAGCTACGTGTAACTGATGGTAGGAACGGATTCTACAGATCTTAGGAATTTCTACACCAAATTGGCGTTTGATATAAACCATCAATACCTCAGAAAAGTGATCTGCGTTCTTGCTACTCACAGCGTAGTAGATGAACCAGCAACATCGATAGTGCCTGGTACCTTGTTAGAAATGTAGAGTATCGAGTCTCATCTAAGACTTCCTGAATCAGAACCTGCGTTTTATCAAGACTTCCAGGTGGTTCCTAAGCACATTAAAGTTTGAGAAACGCTAATTGAAATAGTAAAATCTGTGCTTTCTCTTTCAATATCTCATTCCAGGTAAATATGACTAAAATGCTTTGCATCCTGGATTCTAACCATTTTTTTCAATAAATGTTCTTTCTAAAATCACTAAGAATTTCCTTGTAACAAAATAGTTCTTTTCAGTTCTGGGTTCTCTCTCTGTGGCATTTTACCCTGTTAACTCTCCTTAAAACTCTCTCCCCTGTTTTTTTTTTTAAGTGAACTTATTGAGGTATACTTTACAAAAATGATATTTTCCCATTTTAAAAGTACAGTCGATGAGTTTTGACAAACGTATACACTTGTGTAACCAGCACCCCAATCAAGATATGGAACATTTCCACAACTCCCAAATTCCCTTGTTCCTCTTCCCCAACATCTGATATAATTTATATCACTAAGGGGAAGTTTTACCTGTTTGAAAACTTCGTATACATAGAATTAAACCGTATGTATTCTTTTGTGCTTGGCTGCTTTTGTTCAGCATGTTTTTGGGATTCACAATGATGTTTTCTACCGGTAGTTCCTTTTTATTGCTGAATAATATTCCACAATATGTTTATCCATTCACTTATTGATGGACACGAGTTATTTCTAGTTTGGGGACTATTATCATAAAGGTGTTATGAATATTCATGTAAAAGTCTTTCTGTGTACTTATATTTTCTTTCTTGTGGGTAAATACCTAGAAGTGGAATTGCTGAGTCATATGGTGAGTATATATTTACTTTTAAAGGAAATTGCCAAACTGCTTTCCCAAGTGGTTATACCATTTTACACAGTTAGGACTATGTCTTCTTGATGAATTGACTCTTTATCAATATATAACTTTTCTTTTTGTCTCTAGTAATATTTCTTCTCCTGAAATCTGCTTTTGCCATTATTAATATAGCCACTGCTGCTTTCTTATGATATTTCCATGTGTATCTTTCCCCTTCTTTTTATTTTTACTCTCTCTCTGTCTTTACATTGATGTGTGTTCTTTGTAGACAACATAGTTGTGTCTTGCTCTTTGAATCCAGTCTGACAATCTCTGTCTTAATTGTTGCGTTTAATCCATTTACATTTAACATAATTATTGATATAGTTGGAATTAAGGTTACCGTCTTGCTATTTGTTTTCCATTTGTCCTGTATCCTCTTTGTTCCTTTTCCCTCTTGTTATGTCTTCTTTAGAGTAGTGGAGGGGTGTTTTGGTTTGTTTTTTTTTGTTCAGTATTTTGTCTTCTCATTTTATCTCCTCTGTTAGCTAAATTTTATATACATATGGATCGATGGATATATTTATGTATTTGGGGGAGGTAAAATATCTGAGGTTTAGTAGATTCATCTTTAACTTCTCACAATCTACCTGAAATAATATTATGCCATTCCATGTAAACTATAAGAAGCTTACAATAATAAATTTCCCCACTCCAATCATTTATTGTTGTTATATATTTTACTTCACATGTGTCATATACTCCAAATACATTATTTTTTTCTTAATCAACTATATCTTAAATAAATTTACAAAGAGAATAAAATCTCTTTTATATTTACCCACATATTTACCAATTCCAGTGTTCTTCATTCCTTTGTGTATACCCAGATTTCATCTAGTATCATTTTACTTCACCTGAAGAACTTTATTATTTTTTGTAGTTGCACTCTGCTGGTAACAATTTCTTTCAGTTACTGTTTCTCTGAAAATGTCTTTATTTCACTTTCAGTTTTGAAGGAATGATTCTGTAGATATAGAGTTCTAGGCTGATGACTGTTTTTACTTTCAGCTTTTTAAAGGTTTTCTTCCATGTTCTTTGGGATTGCATTGTTTCTGAGTAGAAGTCAGCAATATTTGTTAACCTTTTCCCTTGGATATTAATGTATTTCCCCCCCTCCCCTGCATGTGCTTTAAGATTTTCTCTTAATTATTGCCTTAGCCAATTTGATTATGATGTGTGTTGCTTGATTTTCCTGTGTTTATCCTGCATGGGGCTTGTTGGGCTTCTTGAATATGGGGTTGATATTTTTCATGAAACATAGGAAAAATTGGTTTAATCTTCCCTGATATTCTGGGATTGCAATTACACATATGTTAGATTGATTGATATTATCCCAGAGATCACTGAGGCTCTGTTCATTCGGTTCTTCAACATTTTCTCTCTGTACTTTAGTTTTGACAGTTTCTATTGACTAGTCTTCAGGTCGACTGATCTTTTCTTCTGCAATGTCTAACCTGTTCTTATATTTGTCCAGTGAAAATTTCATTTCAGATAATGTGTTTTCAACAAAAGAAGTTCTGTTTAGTTCTCTTTGATAGTTTCCGTTTATTTCCTCAGTATCTTTGTATTTTCTTTAAAATATTGGATATATTTGTAACAGCTATTTTAAAATTCTTACCCGCTAATTCCATTATCTCTGTCATTGCTGCCTATTTCTATTAGCAGACTTTTTCGCCTCCTGGATATGAGTCATATTTCCCTGCTTCTTATCTGATATGCTTTGAATGGATGCTCAACATTGACAGTTTGATATTGTCGAGTATGGCGGGCAGAATAGCTCCCCAAAGATGTTTATACCCTGGTGCCTGGATCCTGTAAATATGTATGTAACATAGCAAAAGGGACTTTGCAGATATAATTCAGTTTATGAATTTTAAGATAGGGAGGTTATCCTGGGTTATTGGGGTGAGCACAATCTAATCACATGAACCCTTAAAAGCAAAGAACTTTCCCCAACTAAAGTCAGAGAGATGCAGCAGAAGGAGAAGTCAAAGTGATTGGAAGCATGAAAAGGACTTGAGCCACTCATTGCTCTAGGAACAAAGACTTGGACCCTGGCTGACAGCCAGCAAGGAAATGGAGATTTCAGTCCTAAAACTGCAAGGAACTGAATTGAACCAACAAACTGAACGGGTTTGGAAGTTCATTCTAACACCCTCCTGATACCTTGATTTCAGCCTGGTAGGGTTCTAAACAGAGGATTCAAGTGAATTACGCTGCGCCTGCACTTCTTACCTACAGAACTGTGAGATAATACATGGGTATTGTTTAAAGCCATTAAATTTGTGTTAAGTTGCTATGGCAGCACTATCAAACTAATACATTGAATGTCTGGGTTTTTCAAGAGTGTTGGGTTTTGTTTTGGGAGGCTGTTACTCTAGTAGTTGGTCAGCTTGGTCCTTTTGAAGCTTTTTTTTTAAACTTTGTGTGATCTAGACTTTTTGTTACAAAGATTTTCTAGTCCTCTCTTAAGGAGTGGCTTAGGCTTTCTATTATATATCACAGGTCTTCAACGAAGTTTCTGTACTCTAGTTGGGTAAAACTCAAATGACTCCTTTCCCTGTGAGTTCTAGCAGTTGTTCAGTTTATAGTTCCTCAGCAATTCTTATTTCTCTGGTAGTTAATTTTTGCCCAACCTCTTGGTGTCTCACCCAACACGCACACAGCTTAGTATTCAAGCAAAGACTTAAAGAGTATTCTGAAACTCTTTCTATGTATAGTTCTTCCTTTCTAGCACTCTTTACTGCAAGTTCCAGACATCTCATACTCCCTAAACTCAATCTTTGTCCCCTAACCCACCTTTGCTTGGCTCTCCCTATGTGGACCATGGTCTGAAAGTTCCTCCAGGTAAAAGACTGGGGTGATTGTAGGGCTTACCTCATTTGTTTCCTTTCTGTTTGGGATCACATTTTGCTCTGCCTATGTTCCAGTGTCTAAAAATAGACAATTCATACGTTTTGCCCTTTTTTCGAACTTTTAACAGCTATTCTGGTATTCTTTACTTCATCCTGGCTAGGATCCCTTGTTATTTTGTTGGTGGATCCTTCATTCACTGAACAAGAGCTCCTTCACAGATCTCTTTGCTTCCAATGTAGTTTTTTCAGTCCATCCTTTACAGTCCATTCTGAAACAAACACGGAGGAAATCTCCTTCTCAAAAATTTGTCATGGCTTCTTGCCTTTCTCATAACAGTAATACATAAAACTGTTTAGCATTAGACAATTACAATGGACTTTCCAGTTGACTATTTCATTTTATAAAAGCTAACTTATTTACTTGGATAGTCCAGGATTTTCTCTTTAACTAACTGCAATACTTTCTAATCTAATAACTCAGTAAAATGTGCAAAAATGTATTATAAACTGTATGGAGATATACAAAGATTAGTTGTGTAATTGGTTCTTGATCTAAAATAAACATTACTGGGCCGGTCCAGTGGCGCAGCGGTTAAGTGCGCACGTTCCGCTTCTTGGCAGCCCGGGATTCGCCAATTCGGATCCCGGGTGCGGACATGGCACCACTTGGCATGCCATGCTGTGGTAGGCGTCCCACATATAAAGTGGAGGAAGATGGGCATGGATGTTAGCTCAGGGCCAGCCTTCCTCAGCAAAAAAGAGGAGGATTGGCAGCAGTTAGCCAGGGCTAATCTTCCTCAAAAAAAAAAAAAAAAGTAAGTAAAATAAAATAGACATTACCTTGACTTTAGGCTTAAATCAGTTAGGAATCCCTTCAGATGTAAGTCATAGAAAACCTGATTGGTAGTATCTGAATCAAGTATGGTTTTATTTGTTTCACAGAACAAAATCAGAAGAACCAACTGCTGGCGGTGGTACGTAGCTCGTTGTTGTCAAGACTACCCTCTCCATCCCACAACTAGAAGGACCTGCAACTAAGATATACAACTATGTACGGGGGGTTGGGAAGATAAAGCAGAAAAAAAAAAAAAGAAGATTGGCAACAGTTGTTAGCTTAGGTGCCAATCTTAGAAAAAAAAAAAAAAAAGGACTGCCCTCTCCAGAACTATTCTGGCTTTCCTCTCCAGAGTGCAGAATGGCTGCCCTACAATTAAGCAACATATTTTCTTCCAGGCAAGAAGACAGAGAGGGAAGAGGTAGGGAGAAGTGGAAGAGGAAGCTGGCTTTTTCATTTTTGCAAGGAAGGAAAAGCTTTCCTGACAGACCCCAGCAGATTTCTGCTTATATCTGATCACCAGAACTTATATGACAACAGTGGATTCTAGAAAAGTGAGTATTTACTTTTTTCAGCCTCTATGACAGAAGGCAAGGAAAAGGGATTAGGTAAGTAAACCAACAATGAGTGCTGGAGAGTTTACATAATTTTCTTTATATAAAAAGTGAAAATCACTTTTATATCTGCTATGGTGAAAAAATCCTTATTCATCATTCAAATGAATGTCTACTACAAAAATTTCTCTAATCTTCTCACTTTTCTGAATCCCCGTAACTCTTATTCATGCCACTACTATTTTTGAATTTTTTTTCCTGTTATCTTGGTATTTTCCCCTGTCTTTGCTTCTCTTCATGTGTTATCTCATTCTCTGCTGTTGTGGTGTGCTTCATCATTTTAGCCTGAAAGATTGGTACATGCAGCCCTCAAGGCTTAGAGCCTCCTAGTACCATAGCCCTAAATTCACCAGAAGCTCAAGTTGTGTGTATAATCAATTGCATTATCATTTCCACTTCTTCATACCCTCCCTCTGTCATGCGACCTTATAGTTCACTACAGTGGGCAGAATGTATTTCCCCACACCAATGGAATATTAATGAACATGACATGAGCAGAGACCTTAAAGGTGCTTGCATGGTTGAGCTTGGCTTCTTGTGTGTCTGCCACGTCATGAGAAAAACTTCCCCCAGATAGTTGTTGACCTGAGGAGAACATGAGACATGAAGCAGACCTGGGCCCAATCTGCAGCCTAAAGCTAGGTAGGCCCTGCTGACCTATAGACCCCACGATAGATGTTTGTTGTAAGTGCTAAGTTGTGGGTCGTTTTGTTATGCAAAATATTGCACTGATAGCTGTCAATACAGTGGGATTCTAAATGGCCAAGTTTAATTAATATGCTCATTCCTGAATCAACTGTGATGGCTAATAGTTTAATTGGCCAGGCTTGGATTACATTCCCACCACTTCTCCAGAGAACTGAGGTTGGCTCAGCAATGGGGCTACAGGGACTAAAATGTGATCTCATGATACGAGAGAAGAGTTTCTCCAAAGCAAAGAGGTTGTTGTTACCAGAAGAAGGGAGTTGGTTTGAAACATAGTAAATAGGTAAAAACTATCTATCATAGTCCACTCTGGTGCTTTTTATACTTCAGTATTCATTGCTAAATTTTTTTTTTTCTGCTTTATTTCCCAACTCCCCCCCGCCACTGGTACACAGTTGTATATCTCAGTTGCAGGTCCTTCTAGCTGTGGGATGTGGGACGCCGCCTCAACGTGGCCTGATGAGCGGTGCCATGTCCCCGCCCAGGATCCGAACCCTGGGCTGCTGCAGCAGAGCGCGCAAACCCAACCACTCGGCCATGGAGCCGGCCCCCCTCATTGCTAAATTTTAAGCTGGTTGTGTGCTGGAACTCTGCCATGCTCATCTTATATGTATTTCAACACTTATAATATCTTACAAGTTGTGCCTGTATCAGTTAGGGTCAGGTTTCACCGCAAATAATATAAAACCCCCAAATAACAATGACTTTAAAAGACAGGATTTTATTTTTTCTTTAGCATTAAAGTCTTGAGGTGGGCAGTCTAAGGTGGGTGTGGTGGGTCCTCAGCCATGCATGCTGCTTCTAGCTTTCTGCTCTGTCACCCCCAGGATGTGGGCCTCATCTTTGTGGGCAAGAGATGGTCCCTTTTATTAGAACCACATTCCAAACAGCAGGGTGGAGAAAACTGAGAAGACTGGGGAAAGGATAGAGACCAGCTGCTTTTTAAGAATATTTCTCAGAAGCTGCCACATGACATCTTTGGTTACACCCCACCCTTGCAATGGTAAGAACCTAGCTGAAAGGAAGGGTTGGGGATCAGGTCTTTATTCCAGGCAACCATGTGCCCAGCTACAAATCAGGGCTTCTAAAAGAGGGAGCCTGACAGCAGGCTATCTCTGCCACAGTGCTCAGTAAATATTTCTTGAATGAATGTGTGAGTGAGTGAATTAAAATTAAAATTGGTTAATAAACAGAAGACTAAATTTTCAATCTTAGATTCAATGCTGGTTTAAGGAACATATTTGAGGTTAAAATACCTATTTAAACTATATTTCATTGTTAGTAAGCAAGAAAGCAATAATTGATTGTTTCAGGATTCTTTTTGCTCTGCACTCAAATTGAACAGTGCGGCAGGCGTATTTCAGTTTTGTTGATCCATTTTCTGAAAGTCTAATCCTTCTAAGAGTCTAGACGGAGTCTAGTGTTGCTCTATGGGAATCCTAAAGAAAATACCTCTCTTAAAATTATGTCCCCTCTTAAGCTTAGACAGGCATCCCTTTGAGATTTTGAGATACAAATATTTGCATTAAAGAGATTTACCACCTATAGCTTCAGTAATGTTGACATTATGGGCAAGCTGTCTGCTGATCCATTGTCCTGTTGTGCAAGCAGAACAAACCAAACCAATCTCCAGTCCATGGATAAATTCACTGTTGGCATTGCTGGGAGGAGATTGGGAGTTAACTACCAAGCTATTGATTTTTTTTCACTGTGGGCCAATTCACTCTTTAGTAATGTGGACAATTCCCACTGTTAAATTCAAGGTGACAAAAGAAAAGTTTAGGATTGATGTCTGAAGTTAGAAAAGAGTCTGTTTCATAATATTTTACCAGAAGTTTATTTTTATATTTCATTCCATAAATATCAGATGTCTAGGTGTGGAATACTCAAGCTAAAAGTTGAAATCCAGACATATTTCTGAGTTAGCTATTGGTGTACCCATCGAGTTAGAAATAACATTTAAGATTTCAGAATTTTAAATTTCCAGAATTTTCTGTAATTCAGAAAGGTTTGTTTATGAGAGGTGATAGATTAAGGGTAAGTGGAAAAGAATACACATTTTTGTTTTTTGAATTTCTACTGAACATGTTACTTCTCCACAAAAGTTTAATTAAAATTTTAAATATTTTTTCATTCACTCAATCTTTTGTTTATTCACTCAACAACTTTTTATTAAATACTTATTATGTGTGACATACTGTGCTAGATATTATAGAGTAGAGAGCAAAACAGCCCCGACTTTTGAGAAATTTACCGCCCAGTGTAAGAGACAGGCATGAAGTAATTGCTTTCGGAACGGAGTTTTTAATGGCATTGAAACGTATTTGCATTTTAATTGCTGTAGCACTGTAAAGATGTCTAATACCACATTGGCAAATAACATTTATCTTCTTGCTTTTTTTCCATTATTCTGCTAAATCTTACATATCAAGTATAGTAATGATTCATTTATCCATAACTTGTAGGAAATGAGGGGTTCCATCATAGTTCTTTTTGTTTTTTTAATAACTGGAAAATGATAGTTTCAAAACTTTAAAAATTTTACCTCTTTTGAGAGAAAGCTGCAATAGATTTTTATGCCCCCCAAAATTCATATGTTGAAATCCTAACCCCACACTGTGATGGTATTTGGAGGTGGGGCCTTTGGGAAGTAATTATGTTGTGAGGGTGGAGCCCTTATGAATGGGATTAGCGTCCTTAAAAAAAAAGAGACCCCACAGAGCTCCCTTCCCTTTCTTCCATATGATGACACAGCAAAAAGATGGCTGTCAATGAACCAGGAAGTGACTCTCAGATTCAGACAATCTGCTAGCACCTCAGCCTTGGACTTCCAGCCTCCAGAACTGTGAGAAATAAGTTTGCATGGTTTATAAACCACCTAGTCTATGGTATTCTTTTATAGCAGCCCAAACCAACTAAGACAAAAGCTTTCTAAAATGTATTATATTATTTTATGCCATCTTGAAATATATAGAAGATAATTTCTGCATTAGTCAAGGAGTTAAAATTCTATGTTAGAGTAGACTAAGTTGTAAAAATAGATTTATAAAATCAGTGACAATGAACAAGAGTACTTCTCCCTCGTGTAATAGTTGAGAGTGCTCCAGGTTGGTAGCAGCTCTCCTCCACGTGGTGATTCAGGAAACCAGGATTCTTTTATCTTGTGACTCCTCCATCCTTTAGGGCCTTGTCACCAGGGGCACTGTGAAGGCTTGGTCACCACTACATCCAGGTTTCAGCCAATGGAAAGGGAAACAGTGTGAAGGAGGCACACCTCTCTTAAAGACCCCAGTCCTGAAGAGGCAGGCACTATATCACATCTACTCACATATCGTTGCTGAGAATTTAGTCATATCGTTACATCAGTCTGCAAAGCAGACTGGGAAATGTAATCTAATTATGCACCCAGGAATAAGGGGTGGATGAATATTGGTGGGTGGCTGCTGTCTCTCTCACAGCCTGAAACTCTGACTGCCAAGTTTCTGTGTGTATTCTTTTCACACTCATCCTCCCTCCAAGCAAGGCACATAGAGCACACTCGGCCCTTTCACAAGGGAGACAACCCATATTCCACCCAGTTGCTATATTCAGCTTAGACTCCATGATTCCTGGGTAATGTTCAGTCCTTTCACTCAGGTCCAGATGTAGCTTAAGAAGATCGGGGTGGATCAGATAATTAAAACTCCTATTGGGAGAAGAGAATAAGGAGACACATAGCAGTCCCTGGTCCATAGCACTGATGGAAACCAGCTGAGCAGGAGTGTCAAAGACCTCTACTCTGGCAGCGAAGGAAGTCGCTTGATTGGACCCTGTTTCTGCTCCCCAGGAGGAAATTCTTGTCCATCGCTCTCTGTGGTCCCTTGCTCTGCTCTCTGGAAGGACCTTCCTTGTCTATTATTATTCTTGGTCACATCTGAAATGGCTTTCAGGAATATGTTCTCCTTGGGGCTGCAGATACTTTGCAGCTGTTTCTAGGCTCATAGGTTGCTTTAAGGCTCAAAGAATCACATTGCTCTTTGTTCTTAGGCCATATATTCTTTAACAACACAATTCCCTCAATCTTAGTAAGCTCCTGGTTTATTTCCTTCCAGTATGAAGGCATAACCACAAATTTTTCTGGATATAATCTATACAGTACTTTGATCTTTGCTTTCTGGCTCTTCTCCTGACATGTTCTTTGATTTTAATGGCAGTTATCTTGAGGCCATCAGAAATATTTGGCTTGGCTGGGAATG